CCTTTTTTATGAAACTTGGTAGCATACATCCAAATCGTCAGAGATGTGACTCAGTCTTAAAGTGCAGCGATTGCATACCAAGACTCTATCACGTATCTGAAATACGGACCACGCTTGAGCCTAATAATTCCTCTGAGATAGCCCCATTTTAGCCGCTTGTAGTGGCTAAGTTGAAACGATTGAATGAATCTACAGCAATTGTAATTTATCCATATCAAATCTCGGAATGCATTGTGATCACCCATGTTTAAGTGACAAATGAGGTGCTGAAACCTTGCACCCCTTAAATATGGCATAAAGCATGTACAGTGGACATATATCATAAACAGATAAAGAAATATTACAATTCATGGCCAATCATGCCTCGCTAGCCACCGCAACAATGTTCATAATGGATTCTAGTGATTACCGTGACAATCATGCAGAAATAGCTTAAATGTACTAACTGTGCTTGTATCTCATATTTTGGTTGTTGCTAGCTCTAAATGGGCTGTAGTTAATTTCAGATTTATACACATACGTGAAGAAAGTGCATATAAGCAAGAAAGTAAGGAACCAAGTGTATTATTAAAAATTGTTTGGCAATAAAAATAGTTTAATTATCCATTAAGGAAGCAAATGAATAAATAGGTCTCATGTGGGGTAAGCACTTTCAGACGCATTTCCAAACAAATGGCTATAGAGTAATTACGCTGGTGGAGAAGAATTATGTAGTAGTTACGGATGACACGCAATCAGGAAGGTCAGCAGACAAATAGATAAGTGGATAAGCGGGTAGACTATTGACATTGAGATAGGCAGGCAAACTGGTAGGTATGAAGGCGTTGTACACCTCCACCGCTGTGTCGTGGCCGGTTCTTGATGCGGTCGCTTACCTTCGCAGATTTTTTATCATTGGAGATTTGCATGTGAGTATGAGTGCATCGACGCAGTGATCAAAATCTGATAAACCATTTGCAAAGAGGCAAAATTTTTGTTTCATTCGACACAGCTGTTGCTTTACATCCCAGGTACATGTTGGCCAATAGTCACGCAGACGTTTTTGTCGAGGTGACGGTGTTCACGTCCTCCAAGATCGGCGAGTTGATCACGAGGGGACCGATGGTAGTTATGTTCCTTTTCTGATTCTTTCGAGTCCTCTGTCTGTATGTACGGCAATGACCAATGACCGGTAAAACTGTAGCGCAACGACGGAAACATTTGTGACGTCAGTGCAGCTTTCATTGGCTGCCGCTTGAGTAGGGCCACACCTAGCGTATTTCGATTTCCTCCAAAGTGTAATGAAATGGCATTTTCGAAAGTGCTGCAACCAATAACAAGAATAGGTGCTTCGAGCATTTCCACAGGTGAGATATTATACCTAATGACCTTATTAGTAATGTCACTATCTCGAAAAAGTTTTAGGAAATTTGACGTGTCTTAATTATTTGCATTGGTCAACTCTGTGTGCCCTATCCAATGTTATTTTTGTAGATCCCTCTCATTGCAGTTTCTTCGCCTTGTTCACATTTGCTTGCTATTGTACTTACATAGATCCGTCTTTTTGACGGATAGGGGAGACGTGAGGTCCATACTCTGCCCGGTCGTTTCACTCCACTTTTTTCAGTGAAAAGACCTTACTAAAGTCTCCTCCTCTGTGAACGCGAATATTCGTGGACCTTAGACAGTTTCACCGGATTGCATACAGTTGGAACAACAATCAGGAAGGTATTTCTTACCGTTTCGTACTGGCTGTTTGATTAGAAAGTTCCGTTTTCTGCCTTTGGGTAGTCAAAATGGTAGAGTCGCTAATTGTTAGACCAGAAAACTTCAGACACAAGTGGAAATGATTTAATAATAACGTCGTGGCTTCTTCGACAACTGATACGAGTGGTGGTCAAACTTCTTCTCTTGGGGTTTGAAATTTAGGAAACCATCGCTCAGACGTACACCAAATAAGCATCTCTGTCGACCTCAGCTCTCAGAGTCTATAGAATTTACCTTTTCGCTGTTCATCAGGGTTTCACACCACCGTGGCGGCTGAAGAGAATGCACGTAGACGCATTTTTCCATGCCACTGTCGTTTCTCCATGACAGCTGCACCTGGTCTGAATAGTATATAGTTAATAAGTAATTGAATGTGAAAAAAGTTAACGAAAACAAATATGCAAGTTGAAGGGCACGTGACGTCAGGGAGTATTGAAACAAGCCTGATTTATATAATCGGTGAAACAGCTGCCACTTAGAAATTCAGTCGTTCAACTGACATATTTGACAATGACTGGGACAGATGTAAAACACCATTCAAAGATGTCAACACGATGACAACTTCAGACAGCGTTGTGCGCGGAACTTCCCGGTTACTTCTCCGCCATTGGAGGGAATAATTGGCTCTGATCTGCATCTCCTGGTTTCGTACACGACACATTGTCCAATTTTTTTCCGCCTAATCTACGAGGAGTTATTTGTCACACATCCGGCTGATGGCACGACGATCAGATCTCATCGTATTGTTTTATAAGGTTAATACAAATAATGGATTTAAATAGCTTGATCAGGAGATTACGAACGGCACGACCTGTGCGAAACGACGGATGTTTTTAAAATTTCTGAATGGGCGATTCGCATATTTGCGTCCATATCTTGACCGTATACTCACTTTATTGAAAGATGTTTGAATAATGACGATTTATATCTTCTGCGATCTTCTGAGGAGTTCAGAGTGTGGTTGATTACCGAATTGACCGTCTGCTTTTGCCAAAATTTCCAGGCTTATCAGTTTTCACCCGGAACATGATACTCCTGTAGTTATATGATATTATATCAGTACTCATTATCGCATAATCATGAAAGTCTGTTGATTCGTCAGAGTATGACAGATAATACACTACTCACCTAAGACCAGATTTCATAGCGTATTGCAATACGTCAACGAACGTTAGTCATTACGTGTCCAAACATACTTCGATGTTTTAGCAATCGCATATGTGGAGTCCAGCTCCTGAAGCATCGTTCACGATGAGCGCGAAGTATCTCTAGTGGATAAAATAATGCGGATGCATATGGCAGTGTATATGCTCAAGTACCATGAAGCCATGACTTGCTTAAATCGCCTTCCATCGAAGCGCAGGGCGGAATGGAGGGAGAGGGGACATACTCCGTGAAACCTGGTCTTGGAGCAGTTGTACGTCATCTAAGATGCATCATGATTTACATTTATCTTTATGACAACGGCACTGCGTGATTGAAAAACGCGTTTAATTTATCAGAGCTTCAAGTAAATCAGCCTGTTTTCCGGATGAGGTTTTTCAAGTGTCCTGATGAGGGTGAGCAGCACTGAAATGGAAACAGAAATTTTTTTCAGTAATACGGCACCCCTGCGATATTCGACGCTAGCATTTGCATGTTCTCCATTCGTCACTCTAAGCAATACAATTACGTTAACCTTACTGTAATATAAATTGAATTATGTGGATGATCAGGTAATGACATGTTTGAACGTCACTGTACTGCAGTTACTAAACAGCCTTGCTTAAGAGAGTTCAAAATCTATTCGAGGTCAGTCGTTGTTCATGTTTACAGTTTCGAAAGGATGTTCTTGACCAAATTGATGTGATATTTGGCTTGTGTAAAATCGGCCACCGAAAGTCACAGAAGAATAGAGAACCAAGCTTGCGCAACGACGCTGCTGGCGGCGATCTATTGCTGGGCGAATTACTGGTACTGTTTCGCCATCATCCCGCATGAGTACTTCATGTACTTAATGTTCCCAACGCGTTACCTCAATTTCTATTTCTTGATCCTACCGCTGAGATGCGAAGTTGATACTGACGTTCGATCTTATGAATAATTACTACACTTTTCAAAGCTTAAAATAGAGTCCTGAAAGTGAAACAGGTAACACTGTGCAGCTGAAATACACAATACAACCATTTTGCCATTGTGCATTTATTGACTTGCATTGGTCCAAGCGCTGAGAAACTATAACCAAAAGATAAATTAGTAATAAAGTTTATTATATTATTTCATTCTATCAGATGTGTCTATGTACTGGGAACAAGTTTCAAATACAGTGGAGCACGCGCGACCGGATAGGTGTCAGGGTGAACTCGGAAAGTTCGAGAAATATGATCAATCGAATGTGTAGCATCACTGATGAATTGAATTTATTCCGAATTTAGATGAATTTTTGGGATCACTCCGATCGATGAAAATAACACTTGGAAACGCTTCATTATTAACTACTCATACCCAGAAGCCTCACACTAACATG